CCCGCCCACACGCCAGCCGGCCACAGCTCCCGCCCACACGCCAGCAGGCCGCAGCTCCCGCCCACACGTCAGCCGGCCGCAGCTCCCGTCCCGCCCACACGCCAGCCCGCCCACACGCCCGATGGAAGCGGCATATCATCTACCAACTTCGACACCGGGACCGGCAACAGCATGCCGCCTTCCAGGACCTCGTCCAGTCCTGTGAGTCCTCCTCCCCCAGCTCGGTAAGACATCCCCCGAAAATAAGACCTAGTGTCTTTTTTCGTGCAAAAAAAAAATAAGACAGTGTCTTATTTTCGGGCAAACACGGTAGTTCCCCTTGCAGTAAGTATGAATGCCATCAATGATGCACAGTACATACATTGGGAGCCCCTGGAAAAGCGATTTAGCTATATTAGCTGCTAATATAAGTCATACTGGTGCTCACATCTTACAGGGTAAGCACACAAGTAGAAATATTAGTTGTTAAAAAGAAGAAAATAATAGTGATATAATGCTAGAGACAAAAGAGAAGTCCCTTCTCTTTGCTTGATTGCCAGGTACAATACGCTGACGTTCTTCCATCAATGCCAACAGTAACTCTTATCCCCAGGCGTAAGGTACACAATGTAACATTGCTTGGGGACAAACATGTGTAACATTTAGACAATGGACCTGTTTGCTTATCAGGGTATAAATGATAGAGCATACTTACTGCTTTCTTCAGATCCATTTCCCCACACATATGCACCCACTGTGTGATCCAACAGGTACTATGCTAATGTCCATCATGTCTCCATTGGTGATGCTCATCCTCCAGGTCTTAGGTGAGTATATAACTTTGTTTCCCATTTATTAAAGTAAATGTAAACTAATTTCTACTATGGCAGGTGTCTAAGGAGAGCTTCAAGGATACCAGTGCAGGTTTTGGGTCTATACCCTTGCCAACCACGCTGGATTGCTTGTCCTTTCTCTAAGCTTTATACGTCTACACTTTCAGCCATCTACCTCTGCAATTGCCAAAAACTGTAGATCATTTATAGCGACACTTTACTGGCATACTGGTGCCTACTATACAAAATACTGCTTTATAGTACAACAGCATTAGAATCATTTAGAAAAATCACAATAAATGGGTAAAATGTACATATAATAGACAAAAGGAGATGTTCAAATCATATAAACATACAAACAATAGTATACTGCCACTGCTTCCAACAATATACAAAGACAGTCCATATATTTTCATAAGTGACCTCTGTTTAAGTAGAAGAGCTTTGTTTTCATAGAAGAGCGCTGATTTTGAGTTTTTATGCCACTGAATGATATAGAACATCTTTGTATAGAATACAGTCTGATACCTCTGGTACACATAGCATATAAGAATGTATTCTATCACAGAAAGAATGTATTAATGTAATAATATAAGATCTTCAGGTTATATAAAGCTTGCTAGGTCAGCTAAGACCTCTCTTTTACAGAAAGCATAATGTTTTATTAAATCCATGTACAGAATATTTTGCCCTATGCTCAGGGAAAAAGCAATGTAGGAACAATCGGGAACAACATTTTCTGCATGCTGTAAAATCATAGTAGCTGTTGCTAATGCTTGTTGTCTTTTGCAGTTACCGCTAGTGTTGATCTGATTAGTTTTATCAGCAGAAAATTGTGCAAATGTAGGAACAGTCTAGATGCAGCTAAGCAGAGGCTTTAAAAGAACATATGACATAAGAAAATAAATATGGTAACACCGTATGTCCCAAATGGCCCTCATTTGTAACCAAATCCCCCTGTCCCTCTTTTCTGCTCATTTGTCCCTCTTTTTAGTCTGATGTACAGATATCTATGAAAATGTATTGTTTAACTATCAAAAGTGTTTTCTGCACTAATAGGAAAAGTAATGGTGAAAAAAACAAAACTATTTTGGGTTCAACTAGGGTTGCCATTTGTGTGGGATTTACCCGGACAGTCTGGGTTTTGAGTCCAGTATGTGCTGTGCCTGGGTTTCAGGCCAGCTGAAACCCAGATACACAATGTCAGGTGGACAGGGGCAACCAAGGGGTCCTGGTGTTTCAACTTGCGTGCATGGAGGAGGTAAGGGACATAGGGGGATGATGGAACTCAGGGAGCAAGGAGGTGTCTGAAACAGGGTGCAGAAAAGTCTTAAAAGGCACAGGGGTTCTGCTTCAGGCAGATGTGTTGCTCATTATCTCTCCTCACTCTCTCTCCTGGCTGTCTCTTCTTGCTCCTCCTTATGGTTGTCTCTCCTCACCCATTCTCCTGGCTGTCTCTCTGCGCTCATTCTCCTGGTATTCTCCTGGCTGCTCTCTCCTGTATATTTTCCCAAACAATTTGCAGTACTAGAGTGTTCGGGGTTTAACTTAAAGAAAAGGTGGCAACCCTATCTTCAACCAATAAATCATTTTTGGCATAAAAATTCCTAGAAGTCTGCATGGGGCTGTCTCCTTTGGCTAAATGCAGTGTGCTTGAAGGTGTCCCACCATGTTGGGAGGTTTGGGTAACACCTATGATGTGGTGTAAGTCTGTATGGGGGCACAATGAAAATGCTATGCTGCTTCCCTTATTTGGACTTCTAATCACTTTTTAGGACTTATAAAATGAATTAATGGTCAGTGATCACTTGTGAAATGAGGGTGACATAGATAAGGTGTTGACATATATGAGGCATAGCCTTATCATTTCTGTCTCCAGAGATATATCACCCCATAACACAGGCACAAAACAAGTTATGCAGCAGACATCAATAGATTCAGCAGTGCAGTGTGCCACAGTTACTTAATCCACCAGTACAGTATACTGTGATTCAGAGACCAAACTTATAGGGGCCCTGCCATTTAAACAGGAACATATTTTCCTTTGTGGGGACTATAACAAGTATAACAAGTATGAGATCTCACAGGTGGAAAGTTAGACTCTTTGCAGACCTATTAAATACTCCACTCTGTGCTTCCTGAGCCTGGTAGGTAGTTGTTTCAAGACCAGATGCATAAACAAAACAATTCTGTCTCTGGCTGAGATAGGTTCTACAACAATTTCATAGGGAGTAGTATCACTCTCCCAGGTTTCCATTGCAATATGTAGCAACCCTCGGGGATAATGCCCATATAACAGGTTAAGAAGAGAAAACAAAAAGAAGACTGTGGGACTTCACTTCTAATCACAAATAAGAGATAAGGAAACAGGCAATCCCAATCTCTCCAATCCTTGTCCACTACCTTCTTCATCACACTTTTAAGGGTTTTTCTCACAAGTAATTTGTTTCAGGGTGGTAGACTGAAGTATGCAACTGCTTAATGTTCAACAATTTGCACTCTTTCATTACTTTCAACATAAAGAGAGTCCCTTGGTTCAGGTCAGGACTTCCTCTGGGATCCCTGTGTGGGTAAACCTGTGGAACAACTCTCTGGCAAATGTTTTTGCTAAATGTATTGATGGCCAGATGCAGACTTAACCAATGGCCCTATTAACCAATGGCCCTATCCTTTGTGATTCCTTCAAAATCAACCTCAGTCATGGGTAATGGATCCAATGGGCTGCTGTAATGGAGCATAGGAGTTAACATTTGTCATTCTTGACAAGACTTACAATAATCTTTCACATATGCATGCATCCTGGGCCAAATTAAATATGTTGTTTGGTCTTTTTTACATGCCAAAAGACCATCAGGGTACATGCATGGGCCAAGTCCAACACTGTCCTCCAATAAAGCCCAGGCATCACCAGTTGTTCCACAACTCCACCCCAGATTTTACCAATATGGTACAGCAATTCATTGTGAACTGCAGTATAAGGAAACACAGTCTCAAACATAAGAGTTACTGGGTTCTCATTGTTCACCTTACATTTTTCCAGGTTTTGCGAGAGTAAGGTCATGTAACTGGCAGTTCCAAAGTTTTCCTGAGAGACCTCTAGCTTCTGCATACTGGGCACCTTGGGGGTCTTTAGGGACACCTCCTGTTAATAAGTGGAAAGTGCTAGGGGAAGAGATACTCTTTCGTCAGTTGTCACCCTTACAGCACTATCATCAAAGTTATGCTCAAATGGGTTAGGTGTCCTGTACATGGACATTATGGTATTTTAAACCAATCATAGTAGTAAAATCCAAACGTGCAGTTTACAGAGAAGTAGTCCAGTCCTCAAAGTGTGTTTAAGGGCTTCCTGCTGAAGTTTATTCATCTGTGGTGTATCAGACACAAAACAAAAGAGATTCCCTTGCAGGGGGTCCATGTCGGCAAATACACAACAAAATATTGAGTCTCCTGGCTAGCTGTAAGACAATGTGGGTCTGCTTAGACCTACAGGCTGTTCCAGCACAGCCTGAATGCAGTCTCTCTATTTAAAACACACTACACACTGCTTATCCAGGGAAAAAAAACTTAAATTATGCCTCAGACAGGGAAATGATGTGGTCAGTGCTTAACCACCTACATACTGCCAAGACAGACCAACCAGTACCACCAGTTTATCCCATAAAACACCATTGTCTAGGCATTTTAGAAGCTCTACCCTGGACCCTATTGGGCTAGAGATACTTACATGCGTCTTCTTCTGTTTACCATAGTCCCACTGGCTCATCATGCCCTGCTCTGCACCCAAGTCCAATCCATTAAAAAAATAAATAAATAGAAGCCCGTCAGTGGCCGACTTCCTTGCTCTCTGTGCCGGCTCACCGATAATGTCAATGTCATGCATCTGGTATGAGATCTGGCTGGTCTGTATTTGTTTATATGTTGCCATGGTGTTAGCAATGTGGGAGTCATTATGTTGCTGAAGCCATAGCAGTGCATAAAAAGGAACCCCTTTTTCTGAGATCTCCGAGATTTCAGGAAAAAGGGCCTTTTTTCTTGCAATTATACCATGAGAACTCCCTGGAAGGGACTGGTGACGTAACTTTCCTAGGGTTACATCACAAGTGCCTCAGGAGAACAGGAAGAAGAAGAAGAAAGGAGTGTTCATTTAAGGTAGGGGGGAGGTACACTTTAAAACCAGGAAGCTTTTTGTGCCCAGAGTTGGGCTTTAATCACCCCAATAGTCTATGTATATTTTGTGAAGTATATATTACAGTTTTATATAATGCAGTTGCATGCTTTTTAGTAATTTACCAGGTAACTAATTCACAAGAATTATATGGTTTTCCATGAGTGCTAATTTTAATGTTCCCCATGTCAATTCTTTCTCAAGATTTAACACAGGGAATTATTGATGTTGAACAGAAAAAACATATAAACAGCGCTCTCGGATGGGCAACAAATTAGCTTAGAGGCGTGTGTGCAGCCCTGGAAAACAGGAGGAGAACCTGTGGATTGTAAATATTCAAAAAACCAAGAAAGGGCGCAGAGAAGCCAGTGTTCTCTGCGCCCTTTCTTGGTTTTTTGAATTATTGATGTTGGTGACTCTGGTAGTGGCTTCCACTAAACATTAGTAGCGACTTCCACTAAACATTTGCATCTCATTATCTTTTATTTTCAATCAGATAGAAATATAAATGAACTTGCTCAGCTACATTTACAATGTATTTTCCTTGTTTCCCCCATCAACTCCAGTTCCAAATGCAAATAGTTTTTGGACAATTCATTCAAAGAAAAATATTCACTGTCTTGTTGAATGTTCCTAATAACAAATGTATAATCATAATAATAATAATAGAAACAGTAGTAATTATTCTTGTAGAAATAATAATAATAATCCTCTTTATTAATAGTATTAGCTTTTATTTTTTACTCAGTTGCAGATCTACATGCCCTGCCTTCAGGACAGACGTATGAAACTGTTGTTCCACGGCGAATTCATGCCGAGTACAAAAGAGACGCTCAGGTAAAAATATACTTTTGTTGTATAAGTTATATGTGTGTAAATATACAGTATGTGTGTATAGAATAAATTATCTGCTTTCAATTCATCCAAATGTCCAAATTTAACGAGATTCGTACAAATATCCATTAAGAACTAAACACAATTTACATATCTAATGGACGTCTTCACAACAATAGCAATTAGGGATGCACTGATACCATTTTTCCCAGACCGAGTACGAGTACTAATACTTTTCCTCAAGTACTCACCGATACCAATTACCGATACCATGTTTTTTTTTTAGCATGCTGTGACAGTTTTTCTAAAACAATGCAAGCTAATGATTTTAGGACAGCGGTGGAGGCAACCACTGTGACCCGGATAGTTCTGCCACTGACTCCAAGCTGTAGAGGGACTACAAATCCCAGCAATACATTATACAGCAATGCAGAATAATATGAAGCTACACACTCTGTGTTGCGCACCAGGGCTGTGCGGCATCTCGAGAGGCTGTACGGGGTCTGACCAGGGCAGTGCAGGGTCTGACCAGGGTAGTAACAGGGTCTCTGGAGGCTGTGGGGGGGTCTAACCAGGACTGTGTGTGGTCTGACCAGGGCTGTGCATGGTCTTATCAGAGCTGTGTGCAGTCTCACCAGGGCTGTGTGTGGTCTCAGGTGGATGTGCGGGGTCTGGCAGGGCTGTATGGGGTCCCTGCAGGGCTGCGTGCGGTCTCCCCTGCGCTGTGCGGTGCCACCAGGGCTCTGTGGGTCTCACCAGGACTGTGTGTGGTTCACCAGAGCTGCATGAGGTCTCACCAGGGCTGCATGCGGCATCTCACCAGGGTTGTGTGCGGTCTCACCAGGGCTGCATGCAAGTCTCACCAGGGCTGAATGTGGGTCTCTTCATGGCTGCATAAGCGGTTGCCGTGCTCTCCAGGGCTGTACAGGCAGGTGCTGGGCTCCCCAGGGCTGTATGGGCATGTGTGGGGTTCTGAGGGCTCTCCAGGCGGGTGTGGGGCTCTCCAGGGCTGTGCTGGTCTCTGCGCGAAGGAGGTGATGTGCAGCTGGACCTATGCTGTCAAAGAAAGACACTGTGAGGTCCCCAGCAGGCTATATCTTTTACAAAATGTAAAGCGCCTATATCGGCGCTTAGTATTGGGGCATTTTCAAGAGTATGAGTACCCGTGAAAATGCCCAGTATCAGCACCGATACTAGTATTGGTGCTTTCCTAATAGCAACCAATCTGATCTTAGCAGAACAGTTATGGATGATTGTTGATTGGCCCCTGTGTATTGGTCTCTATGACTAAGCCCATTGTTGGTTGAAACATATCAGAGTGAGGAGGATCCACAGCAGGAAAATATCTACCTGTGTGCTACAATAATTTTTCAGTGAAGCCTCCAACCGCTGTTCCCTCTAGTTCTGCTATGAAGGAGCGGTGATATTGGGCTATGGAAGTTGGTACCTGTATGTTACTATATTTAGTTTTTTTAATGTATTCAATCATTGAAATTGACCTATTACTGTACAGTACTATCACTTTCAATCACAATTTTATGGGTAGACATATTTCTGAGCTTGATTTTATTTTTCTGGAGTGTAAAGTGCAATACAGCCCTTTAGGTGTTGCTACCCCTGTCATAACACTAATGCTTACCTCCAATGGTAAATCCCAGCCTTTCCACAATGCACCAATTCACCACCTGGCCTATGTGGGTGCTCCTAGACACAAAAGAAAGCTGACTACCCAGGCAGTAAAAAAGAAAAAAAAGCACCCCCAATCAAAATTACATCGCTACATAGTTATTCAGATTGAAAAAAGATACAAGTCCATTGAGTTCAAACTACAGAAAAAAAAAGCAGAACCCTATCCCCACAGTCTGTTAAACTTGTGGAGGGCCCATGAATTGATGGTAGCGTTAATTCACCACTGTATGATTGGTACTAACCTAATTTCTGATATACTTTCCCCAGGACAAATACCCACATGTGGCTACATATGAATTACACATTGAAGGAAAGCCTCTGGTTCTACACCTGGAGAGGAATGAGTAAGTTACCTGTTGGAGCATTTGGAAGCGATGACTAATTGGGCACTAAAAGGAGGATGGGTGACTCAACAATGGGCACTAAAAGAAGGATGGGTGACTCAATGGGCACTAAAAGAAGGATGGGTGACTCACTGGGCACTAAAAGAAGGTTGGGTGACTCAAGCTGTCAACCCTTCTAAAACCTAATTTCCACACTTTGCTTCCCTCAGGGACCTGATAGCTGATAATTACAAAGAGACAAGTTACCATCAGGATGACACACCGATAATGAGTAGCCCTAACAAGAAGATAAAGGTAAAGTCACATTCTTTCTTGACAATTAATACAGTATTTCTATGTAGAACACAAATTACATTCACAGTTAGGACATTTGATTTACTGAATTTTCCACCCCACAATACAAGGGGTTTAATTTTATATTTTGAGAATCTAGAACACCTTATTTCAGTCACAACACCCTTTAATAGTCCGCAAAACCTCAAGGCACCCCCGGGAAGCCCCCCGGTTTAAAATGTAAAAAGCGTAAATGTAAAAAACATTGTGTGGCCCCTCCAAAATCCAAGCCAGACCCTTATCTGAGATCTACAAAGAAAGAAATGTAACATATTAAAACAGGAAACAGTCTTCCACTATCTAAAACGTGCTGCCTGAGGTATCTGTGCGTTGCTTGTAACAAACCAAAACCTGTCTATGGCAATGAGCAAAATATAAATATAATAAGACAAGACAGACAATAAAAACATTGTTTACATTGCTGAGCATTTACATTTCCTGCCTGAGGATGTACAATATTTCATGAATGTGGTTGCAATTGATAGTTGGTTGTTCTCATATTGTGCAGGATCACTGTCACTATCAGGGCTATGTGGAGAATGACAGCCAATCAGTGGCCAGCATTAGCACCTGCTCTGGGATAAGGTAAGAGGATAAATAATTTAAAGTATCCATGCTTAAACAGAAAATAGGATATCTGATATTGTATGTAGTAGGGATGCACCAAAATGACATTTTTAGACAGAGACTGAAATTTCAAGATTTGTCAGGCCGAATCCGAAAATGACTTTTTTTCCAAACCTTTTTGAAATTTTTAAAATTATCTTATCATTTTTTTATTCTTATTTTTAAGTCCTGTTAGCACTCTGGGGAAATATTGGGGGTTCTAAACAGACCCCTGATATTTCCCTTTTAAAATAGAAAAAGAGATTGAGGACCCAGAGTCCTCAATCTCTTTTTCTGCAGCCTCAGCACTCATTGAACAAGAAGCTCTCAGTGCAGAGACTTCCTGTTCATTCACAATCTGGAGATAGTAAATATTTTACTATGAACCCAGTCATGAATGGACAGGAAGTCTCTGTACTGAGCTGCTTCCTGTTCATTCATAAAGAGAGCAGATAGTAAATATTTACTATGTTCCCCAATTATAAATAAATAGGACATGATGTATAACAGTTCCTGTTCATTCACATAGTGATCAAACACACACAAGGACCTTAGTCCTCAGTTATTTATTGATTAGTATTGATTTCTTAGTGTTTGTGCTCCATTCTCCATCCTGACTGCTCTGCCCCCTCCCACCAGTCACCAAAGCCGTGCTCTCCTCCACGCTCCACCCTTTTTGGCCTCCTGACAGGTCTCTCCTCCCCACTCGGCCTCCTGACAGGACTCTCCTTCCCGTACTGCCCTCTTGGCCTCTTGACAGGTCTCTCCTCCCTGCTGGGCACCAGGAGCTGGATCAGCTCTGTGTCCCCTCCGATCTCTGCTGCTTCTGCTGACACAGGTGGGGAAGGGCAGCAGGGATTGGAGGGGACAAAGACCAAAGCTTCAGCCGGGGCCCAGCAGGGAGTAGAGAAGCTAGGGATGCACTCCATTTTTGCCCATTTTTGTACCATTGCCATATTGCCCATAGTACCATCTTCGGCCAAAATGTTTTGGATGTCGAATTTTCGGTGCATCCCTAGTATGTAGCTTTACCATGTGCCTGCAGTTCTGTGTTGTAATTACATTTACATGCTAAAGAAGGTGTAGTGCAGTTTCAGATCCACTCACAGTGGGATTTACAAAAGAATATGTGCGTACATCGGTCCATTGTGTGTAGACAACCAAAGCCTACCCTCATGGTATTTACTCTGAGCCTACAATGCATGTATATAAGTGCAGATATGAGCACTTACTTACAGTATGTGACATTTATAACAAGTATGGTTTGTTTTGCAATACACACTCCAGTGCCCAAATGCTAAGATATGACTTGCCTAAAATAAAAATATGATTTTTCTTGGATTTTTTTTTTGTACAACTGCTGCTAACATTTCTAAATGTGCTTATGATGTAGGAATAAGACCGCATTAGTTGCACACTGCTATGTGTAAACAATACTCTCGCTCTTTTTTGAAGCGGGGTTATCATGACACAAGGCAGGAGGTTGCTAATTGAGCCCCAAGACCTGACAAGTGAAGAACATGTTGTATATGAAGAGAAAGAGCCCCCCAAAACCTGTGGAACGCTTAGTGAACCTTGGGAGGAATTTTTGTTGGCTCAAGAGGTGTTACCTGCTTTGGATAATAAGGTGAGACACTGGAGATCATTTATAAAACAAGAGCAATGGACTGCACTCATTGCAAACCATACTGGCCAATATTGGGGAACTTTATTCAAATTCACAGGAGAATTAAGTTACAGCCTAGTAATATAAAGGTTAGGATGGTCAGCCTGTTCCCAACATTTTGGCCAGGTTGAGTGATAATCTCAGCTTTGTGGTGGCAGATTTTAGGGGGAGAATTGATGGGGTAGGTTAGGTGCACTACATATAAGGTTACCAGATTGTCAAAATGAAATGTGGGGACACTGTACTGACCATGCCCACTTTTAAACACAACCATTAAAACCACACCTTCATTTGTCATGCCATGCCCACAAAACTACACCCCCATTTTTTGGAAACAATTGGTCACAGACTTCTGGAAGTCTTCACAGAAGTCACAGACTTCTGGCAAATCCTGCGTGCTGTCAAATAGTGCTAGCAATAGGAGTGGCTGAAGATGGAAAGTTGAATAAACCCTGAGCCTATTCTACTATGGGTCAAGAATGTGTGACGCACAGAGTGCAGGGATTAGGAGTGGATAATGCATGAACTTCAGGGGTCAAGAGTGTGTAACGGAGGGAGTGCAGGGGTCATCAGTGTGTAATGCAGAACACATGGGTCAAGAGTGCATGGCACAGAGAGCAGGAATCAGGAGTATGTAACATGCAGAGTGCAGGGGCCAGGAGTGGGTAACGCATGAAATAAAGAGTTCAGAAGCAAGTAATGCATGGAGTACAGGCATCATGAGTAGATAACACATTGAGTACAGGGGTCATGAGGAGGTAATGCATGGAATACAGGGGTCATGAGTAGGTAATGCAGGGACTACAGGGGTCATGAGTAGATAACAGGGAGAACAGGGGTCATAAATAGGTAACACATGGAACACAGGGGACATCAGTAGGTAATGCATGGAGTACAGGGGACATCAGTAGGTAATGCATGGAGTACAGGGGACATCAGTAGGTAATGCATGGAGTACAGGGGACATCAGTAGGTAATGCATGGAGTACGGGGGACATCAGTAGGTAATGCATGGAGTACGGGGGACATCAGTAGGTAATGCATGGAGTACAGGGGTCATCAGTAGGTAATGCATGGAGTACAGGGGTCATCAGTAGGTACCTTTTATTTCATTTTTAATCTTCCTATTTTTACATTCTTTTCACTTATTTTCTATTCTGCTCGGTACCACGGAGGTACTGAGCAGCACAGCCGAGCCGAATGCCGCTCGACGGCATTTGGCTATTCACTCACTGCCGTTCGGCACCTCTGAGAATAGGGGCAAACGGCAGTGAATGAGCTGCCAGAGCTTCGGCTCAGCCGATCCAGATGTTGGATAGGCTGAGTAGAAGTCCTTCTGCACTTCGGCTCAGCCGAACATGCAGAGCATGTTCGGCTGACCGAAGGTAGCTTAAGGCAGCCAATGTATGGCTGAAATCAGCCGTACTGAGCCGGAGGGAAAAGCCAAACGTCATTTGGCTCGGTTCACTTCGGGTCGGTTATTCACTCGGCTTCCTTCGGCAGCTTAGTGAACAACCTTGTAAGTGTCACATCTGGTTGATGTAGGTCATTCAGGGCCACCAGACTATCATACCTTATTAGTACTGGCCCTCATGCCTCCCAACCCAATACTGTCCTGGTTAGCATCCATGCTGACACTTATTACATTCATTTTCTACATATCGGTATCAATATTGTCATATTTGGATTTTTCGCTTTGATGTATTCACCGTGAGACCAATAAAAGTAACTTTTTTGCTCAGGGCGGAATGCAGCATTTATAATATAATTGTTCTCCATGCACTGTGTAGCAACTGACATTTGATTCCGACAGCAAACAGGCGATTGCTAATTATTATTGGCAGTCCCTCCTGACAATGTGTAATGTATTCCTTCTTTGTAGGAAGAAATTGACAAACTTCAGAATTCATGGAAGTATATAGAAATGTATATGGTTGCTGATAAATCATTGGTAAGTCATTTCTTTTTGTAGCAAGCCGTATTATAGCGTTAGATTGTATAAAATCATAACATTGAAAAGATTTTTTCTTTTTAATGTATTTTTTTTTTCAGTTTGACAAATTTAAACAAAATGCCACAGCTGTGAAAAACAGAATATATGAAGTTACTAATTACATGAACATGGTGAGTAAGCTTGTGGCGATCAGAAGTTAGAGAATTGGCATAGGGTAGCTGGATGGAGGTTGGAGACCTTCAGTGTTGAGTCTTGAGGATGATTTGTGAATTGAAGGAGGAAACATCGCACACATCTTTATGACTTAGGCCACTCTCATAATACTGGGAGTTTCCAGGGAAGCGCACTCAGGAAATTCATCCAAGCTCCGTTCTGAAGCACTCAATAAAAGGAGGCGTCTGATTGAAATTCAACCCTGTCCTTCTGCAGCCCCGGGTCTCACAGCTCACTCTAGGAGGCCTTGGACCAGAGAGACATCTTTCTCTCTTTCATTGTGGCCAAAGTTATGTATCCATTAAACACACCTAGTGCCCAGTCTTCAAGTTCCCACACAACCACTCCTAACATAACTTCTCAATCCACAGATAATTTTGACAGAACAGCTGGGCACAATGGAGGCTCAAACTAAATCTAAATTCTCAGAAACTTTACTAAAGACTTCTCATATGCAGATTAGACTCAAAACTATATTCCCTATAAAGTTACTCTTCACTGTCTGATGTAGTACTTTGCTGCTTAACAGCCTTTCTCCAGAGAAGCCTACTTGAACCTTTGAAGGTCTGTGGAAATCCCAGGAGCAACAAAGTCCTCCTCATCATGTTCCCTTCCCCTGTCTGGTGTTTACATGGTAGAAAGTAGGGATGCACCCAAATTTCGGCCTCCGGCACATTTTGGACGAAAATGGTACTATCGGCAAAATGCCGATAGTAGCAAAAAAACCTCTGAAAATGTGCTGCATCCCCAGCTTCTCTCCTCCCCTCTGGGCGTTGACTACAAGCTTCTGTATGTGTCTGCTCCGATCCCCACTACTCTCCCCTGCCTGTGTCGGCAGAGGCAGTGGGGATAGGAGAGGACACAGATCCGATCCAGCTGCCGGCAGCCAGCAGGGAGGAAAGAAGCTGTCAAGACGCTGATCGGGGCATTGTGGGGGGCAGGAGACATCAGCTCCAGTGACAGGCAGGACGGGGCAACTGGGGGGGTTTCAGTCAGGACTGAGAGTGGAACTAGAAAAAATGTTACATGCATGAATCTATAACCGGCCTTTATAGCAGGGCGCACATTGGGAAGGCTTACAACAATACATAACACAAAAATTCCCCAGCCTCAGCCTGCCAGCCAGCCTGCAACCAAACAAGTAGCCCTGTCAACAGTATGCGTTAAAATCATAGGTTTTAGTTGCACAAACTTTTGGCCAAAAATATGTAGAAGCCACACCGCCGCGCCAAGGCACCTCTGCAAAAATGCATGCTGGGACTCCAGTGCGTCCCCCTAACCCAAAATAGTCAAACTAGAAAAAATGGTACATGCATGAATCTATAACCGGCCTTTATAGCAGGGCGCACATTGGGAAGGCTTACAACAATACAAAACACAAAAATTCCCCAGCCTCAACCTGCCACCAAACAAGTAGCCCTGTCAACAGTATGCGTTAAAATCAGAGGTCCGTCCCCCAGCGTGCATTTTTGGTTGCTGGGCCTCCAGTGCGTCCCTGCACCTTATCAAGAGGAGTTGGCTACCTCCAGGTACACCTGCATGTAATTTATCAACTTCATTAATATGCTCACACTTGGAGACTCGGATACATAGAGTTAGGACCACACTTTGCAGAGGTGCCTTGGCGCGGCAGTGTGGCTTCTACATATTTTTGGCCAAAAGTTTGTGCAACTAAAACCTCTGATTTTAACGCATACTGTTGACAGGGCTACTTGTTTGGTTGCAGGCTGGCTGGCAGGCTGAGGCTGGGGAATTTTTGTGTTTTGTATTGTTGTAAGCCTTCCCAATGTGCGCCCTGCTATAAAGGCCGGTTATAGATTCATGCATGTACCATTTTTTCTAGTTCCACTATTTTGGGTTAGGGGGACGCACTGGAGCCCCAGCGTGCATTTTTGGTTGCTGGGCCTCCAGTGCGTCCCTGCACCTTATCAGGAGGAGTTGGCTACCTCCAGGTACACCTGCATGTAATTTATCAACTTCATTAATATGCTCACACTTGGAGACTCGGATACATAGAGTTAGGACCACACTTTGCAGAGGTGCCTTGGCGCGGCAGTGTGGCTTCTACATATTTTTGGCCAAAAGTTTGTGCAACTAAAACCTCTGATTTTAACGCATACTGTTGACAGGGCTACTTGTTTGGTTGCAGGCTGGCTGGCAGGCTTAGGCTGGGGAATTTTTGTGTTTTGTAGGACTGAGAGTGGAGCACGAACTCTGAGTGATCAGTACTGATCACTCAGTGTTTGTAAATAACTGAGGACATAGTGATTACTATGTCCCCAGTTAGGAATGAACAGGAAATGCTATACATCACTTCCTGTTCATTTATGAATGGGGACATAGTAAATATTGACTATCTGCTCACTTTATGAATGAACAGGAAGCAGCTCAGTACAGAGGCTTACTGTCCATTCATGACTGGGTTGATAGTAAATATTTAGTGTACTGAGAGCTTCCTGTTCACTGAGTGCTGGGGGCTGCAGAAAAAGAGATTGCATCCTCAATCTCTTCTATTTTAAAAGGGAAATATCAGGGGTCAGGCTCTGCTCAATGAATCTCAGAAAGTTATATGGCAGCTGAGTGACCTGTAGGAACGACTAGCTGTCTGAGAGTAGAGGTAAGAGTGTGATGCTGGGCAGACCGAGTCATCCTGTTCTAACTACCTAATGCCTAACGATGTATTTCCTCATGATTTAGCTTGAATGTTGACTAAGGGAGAGCTCACAAAGTCTGTTTGGCTCTTTCTCAGGTGAAATGGACAGAAATTTTTGGGGTCATACTGAAAGTTTTGAGAACATTTTTTGACAAGATTCAAAAGACTGACATACCTACCTGTTTCCCTGAAAATAAGACCTAGTTGTGACCATTCCCAGGGCTGGTGGTGGCATAAGGGGGAACTTAAAGAGCCACAGGAGAGGCAGGAGAGAATCAGCGGTGCCAACGAAGCCAGAGCTAGAGGAAGCGAGGCGGCACCAAAGGGAGCAGAGCCGCATAAGCCGATGTTTCCTCTATAGCGCCGGCTTCTGTCACAGGCGGAATAATACCAAATGCACTCCGCCTGTGGGGAATCGATAGTGAAAGTGCTCTTCGCTCATTCTGGCCAGCGATTGGTTAGCAAATTGCTCTTGGAAAGGTACGGCACCCCTGATTGCCCTGATCACCATATTTTTGTACAAGAATACACGTAGACTTTTCTACATGAATAAGTGTGGATTGTTGTACATTAAAAAAGAAAAAAAAATAGGACCGTGTGTTTTTTTTTAGCCACAAAAATATAAGACACTGTCTTATTTTCGGGGAAACATGGTATTATGTCCCCAAGGAATGCAAGCTTTGATTATTTCCTATACATTAACTTATAATTGCAAGCGAGATTTCAGTCTAGAGTTCTTGCAGTTGTGGAAATGTGTTATCTCGAAATACCTCGCAGTTGTTTATAGGCTGTTATTCTCTCTTACACAGGTGTTCAAGGCGATAAACGTTTCTGTGGTTCTTGTTGGGCTTGAGATCTGGGAAACAAAGAACCAGATGGAAGTGAACTCCTCAATGGGGAAATCTTTAAATAACTTCAGTAAATGGAGGAAGGAAATGTTATTGCCTAGATTAGCGCATGACAATGCTTATCTCTTTTCGTAAGTCTCTGATTGGCAGATATGATCTGGTTGTCAAATAGTAATATCCATAGTTTTGGTTTAATAGAATACAATTCCAGAATAAGTCAGAATAAACATAATAGTTAAAAGAGAACTATGGGGTAAGTGTTTTTCCCCATAGTTCTCTTAAGGGTCATGGGAGGACATACACTAGCCTCCCCCTGTGCCCCAAAGCTCAGTATATCGCAAGCTACAGCTAGCTGTATACTAAGACCGGCGCAGCCGGGATGGATCCTGACATTACTGTTGAGATCCACCCAGCTGCGTGAGTGACAGCTGGCTCTGTCTATCTAGAAGCAAAGCCAACTGTACCCGCCCCCTCCCCGTCAGTTCCACCAGTCAGCCCTGGAGGATCGGAGCGGGGAGGGGGGGTGGAATCCCTGCAGGGAGCCGTGAGTGACAGTCACCGCTCTCTGCAGGGAGATGATCGAGAAGTGAGCGAGCGATGGTGTGTGTCCGCTCACTTTCCGATCTATTAAGCCGGCGTGTGACAGTTTCATTGTCACACGTCGGCTCAAACTATGAGGATGAGTGATTTTCACTCGCCTCATAGTTCTCCTTTAACGTTTTTTCTTATTAATTGTTGAAAAATAATGTAATCCAGTTAGATATTTACCCAAAATACTGTATTTCATGCATTTTTCACGGTATCTAGCCTAACTAGCATTCATCTCCCTCTATACTAGCTTCATGTGGCCACCTTCAAAGCAATTAATGCCTTGAGATACCAAATAAAAGGAATGGCACTGACATTGAGGTAGCACATACCTTACCATGTGCTTTTTTTAAGACACATTTTCTTTTGATGCACCTGCAATATACAGTATTTGGCTGAATTATACAGAAAGTTCAATATGGCATTTCCAAAACCAAATGGTAGATGTAATCCTTTAAAGTCTTGTGGGTCTCTTTCAGGATCTCCAACTACACCAATGCTAAAAATAGCTTCAGTGGGCATCAGAAGAATATGACACGTTATCCAAACCCCTTCACCTGACTCCTTTCATTTTAAAGGAGTAGGCTTTACTCCAAGGCATCTGGGGGATCTGGTTCACTGGGAATGCTCTTGCCTTTGGCCATGTCTCATAGATACGGAGACATTTAGAATTTCATGAACCACATGTACACTATGGACAGTGACAGAAATAGTGATGGGCTGAACAGGCCCAGGTTCGGTTAGAATTCGAACTTTGGAACATCCAAAAATTTCGAACTCAAACTCAATGCAAGTCTATAGGGTAGAACTTTAAAAAACAATTGTCCCCTTTAAGAGGGCTTATATGCAAGTTATTGGCCATAAAAAAGTGTATGGGGATTCAGGTACTGCCCTGGGGGACAGGTATCAATGAAAAAAAAACTTTTAAAAAACACAGATTTTAAAGGAGCAGTGATTTTAACATCACTTAAAGGGTAACAATGACAATGAAAAATGTCTTTAAATATCGTGCTTGGGGGGGTCACCTTAACCTGCCATGTTTTTAAAGCCCCCATTAAAAAATG